GTCAGGATACCCGACCTATATCGATGGTCGGGTGATCAACACTACCCATGAGCTGCCCGCCGTATTCCCTTACAATGAGGACATGAACTCCGGCACACCGCTGGGAATTGGTGATCTATCTTTAGATCGATTTGACGAATGTTTACTCACATGATTCGCATAGGCTGGAGCCAAAATTCCATTGGCACGAATGGTCAAAGGAGCAGCTCTGCCACTGCGTACCTTGAGCCTGTTTATAATCGCTCGAACCTCGATGTTCTGATTCAAACGCAAGTAACTAAATTAATACCTTCAACATCCTCGCACGGATCGCCGTCTTTCACTGCTGTGGAGATGGCGCAGAGCGCAGGCAGTCAGTGTTCTTGAATGTGTGGCTGTCCTCTACTCAGCTGTCTACGCAGGCCAAACGTATATAGTAAATGCCTCAAAAGAGGTTGTGCTATCTGCTGGGTCCATTGGCACACCGCAGATCCTGATGCTGAGCGGCATAGGCGACTCGAATGCACTGAAAAGTGTTGGAGTGACACCTATCGTTAGCCTTGAGGACGTCGGTCAGAATCTGATCGACCATCCACTCCTTGCCAATCAGTGGTACGTGAACTCGACCTATACATTCGAAATGGTAGAGTACAATGGTACTCTTGAAGAAGACCTGTTGGAGGAGTGGGCCGTTGATGGTACAGGGCTCTTCGTCGACAATGGCTCCAACCAACTTGGCTGGCTGCGTCTACCTGAGAATGCGTCTATTTATAGGAGCTATTCGGACCCGTCAGCAGGCCCACTGTCGCCACAGATTGAGCTTATTTTTGTCGTATGTTCTTCTTGTGAACTTTAGAGGAAGATCGCCCTGATCGGACGTGGTTGCACAGAATGGGTACTTTTCGCCTGGTACTCCCTCGCCCGACTCGGGCTATTATATGTCGATATCTACAAACGTCGTCTCTCCTTCTTCTAGTAAGTCAAACGCGCTCCTTTCGAACATCCCCGTTCTGCTTCCCCCGTGCTCGCATTATCACTTACTAATTCAGGACACCCACAGCTGGATCCGTGACCCTAACGTCCAACGATCCGTTCGACTATCCGAATATCAATCCTAACCTCCTCGGTGATCCATTTGACATGGCCGTAATGGTCCAAGCACTCAAGGATGCGCGGTCGTTCCTGCAAGCGCCTGCATGGGCGGGGTACATTCTACAACCGGTCGTCAGCGCATTTGCTGATGCAACAACGGATGCCGAGCTGGAGGCGTACGCGCGTGAGTATGCCGCAACTGTGTACCACCCCGTCGGCACGGCGAGCATGGAGCCCGCACGGGGATCTGGCGGTGTTGTCACGTCCAGTCTGCTTGTAAAGAATACATCGGGGCTGCGCGTGGTCGACGCATCAGTGCTAGTGAGTATTCTGTGTCATCGCCTAACCAGGCAGGTCTGACATTTTCCCCAGCCTTATATTCCGTCTATGCACCCGCAAGGCGTTGTCTATGCGCTGGCAGAGAGGGCATCGGATTTGATCAAGGCTGCCTGGGGAGCCTAATTGTATGTGTTATGGAGCATACAATGCGTGCGCACACTGGACCTTGCGCTGAGTAAAACATACACCTATCTCCATACATCATGCACCAGCTGTCTGCCGGGTGCCCTGCATTCGTTGGAGATGTAGTACCGCCTTGAAAGTGGATCGAAAAAACTTAACCCGACTTCTTTTTTTCCCGCTGGGCATTGAATCTGTGGTAGCGGCTGAATGGATTTTTGACGCTGAGTACACGTTATATATAACTTATATGTAGTCCATCCAATTGGAATTGTTATGCATATCTAGCTCACCACGTCGGCTTGTTGTCTGTGTCTCAACTATTGTGGCAACAAAAATCTTGACTCCTCGTAGGTAACTGGAAGTCAGTGACCATCTCAGATATAGGCGAGTCCAGGCTATTGGACTAGCCAAGCGTCCGTGACGTCTGTGACTACGGCATCAGCGGCATGTTTTGAGACTCAAACGCTATCACTGGCGGCTTCAACAGCGTTTAGAGCTGAAAAGATGGAAACTGAGCATCTGAATTATCCGAGGAAAGCCATTTGGTGGACGCAGCCCAAGGTTTTCCGAAAGCGTCGTACAAGATAGATTGTTTGTAAGTCGGTAAGGGCAGCTCCGGGCGAAGCGCTTGTCTACCGGGCTACGGCCGCCATCAGCTGTGCATATGGACAGATTTGCCTGCTTAGATCCGTGTTTTGGTCACCTTTCCTGCGCCTCGGCCTGCTGGCAAGGATATGAAGTGCCGGAGACCGTATAACCGCTGACCTGGCATCACTTTGTATCCCTCTCTCGACGTTCGACTTGACTGGGTCACGTTTGTGAGGATGGGAATCTTGTCGTCCAGACTCGTCGTGTCGGACCCCGCCGCATTCGCATCTCCCGTCACGGAGGGCAGCGATGTGGGTGGCGGCTGCAAGGGCTTCGACTATGTCATCGTGGGCGGAGGTGGGCAAGCTTTCTGCATAATGTTCTTGGGACTGTTCCCGTCGTGTGCAGTCCGCTAACCAAACAATATTCCTTATATGCAGGAACTGCGGGCTGTGTTCTCGCATCGAGGTTGTCAGAGGATCCCAATGTAACAGTTTTGTTGGTAGAAGTTGGCAAGAGGTCTGTAATTCAATTTACTTGAGCAGTACTTCACCTAACGAAGATTTAGCCATGAGGACGTGCTAATGAGCCGCATGCCCCTCGGTTTTACGAAGCTCATCAAGTCGGAATATGACTGGGCTTTTGAGACAACGTAAGTCCTTTTTTAGATTATGCTGTGGATATTCCTTGATGCTAGCTGCCCGTCCGTAGGCCTCAAGCCAAGCTTGATGGTCGTCGGGTTGCGTGGGCTAGAGGACGTATGCTTGGTGGTAGTAGGTGCGCCTTTGCCGAGTTTTGACTGCATGCAAAATTCAAATTCGCTCTAGTGCCACCAATGCTCTCATTTTCCACCACTGTGCCCCGGAAGGTCAGTGACATGATAGTCGTGCCAAAATGCTCTCCTGATTGAATGTAGATTTCGACGCTTGGGAGAAACAAGGTGCTACCGGGTGGGGCTACGATGTGATGAGACGGTTCTGTGGTCTTCTCGCCTCAGAAATGTCTCGTTCTCTAATACACATACAGATATTTGAAGAAGGTGGAGAGTTTCATCACGCATCCAGGTTCCAACATCGAGAAGGCACTGCATGGCGACTCTGGCCCTGTGCAAACACGAGTGTCACCATTGACTGTGAGTGCTATGGCGAAGGATGATAGGATTCTTTTGATGATAGTATATAGCCTGTGTCGAATGTGATCCTCGATACAGCGGTCAATCTCGGTGTGTCGCGCACGAAGTGAGCATGCTGGCATTTCGTTCGCTAAGTACTAATACATAAGTTTGTAGCGACTTCAATACCGAGAACGGTACGCTTGGCGTGGGCCCGTTTGTAGGCACTATTGACAGCAAGAGCGAACGTAGGTGACTATCAATTAGACGACTTCCCCTGCATTGATATCATGTATCCAGGAAGTTCTGCGGCTGCCGCATACCTCGGCCGTGACGTCCTGAAGCGGCCAAATCTAACCGTTGCCGTGAGTACCACAACAGAAAAGATCCTCTTTACCACCGACGGCGATGGTGCGGCCCGTGCGACAGGTGTTCAAGTCGCGTCTAGCAAAGGGCGAAGGAAATACCAAGTCCGCGCAAACAAGGAGGTGATTGTCTGCGCAGGCGCAGTTGGATCACCTCACCTTCTCATGGTATCTGGAATTGGACCTGCTGCGCATCTGACGGAGAAAGGTGTGCCCGTTGTATGCGACAGCCCCGCTGTGGGTACGAATCTTTTGGACGTGAGTTTATTTTGACTATCCCCTTGTTCTTCGACCTTGCGCTGACTGGACATTCGCTATTGCTAGCATCTGTCTGCGGGAGCAATGATCATGAGAGCAAAGCCTGGGACGACCCTAGACTACTTGTATAGCCCTGCATCTGCCGCATGGCCTGTTCTGCAGTGGCTGATGTTGGGCTCTGGTACAATGTCATCACTGATCAGCCAGATCGGTCTGTTCATTCGTTCTGACGACGAAAGGTGATTTTTGTCCTTGAAATGGCCCTCGGGGATATATTGACTCTTCTTGGACATTTAGACTTCCCTTCACCTCCGTAGGAGGCGCTGTTTTGCCTTCCGCTGACCATACCTCAGGGCCAAAAGCTCCTGATGTTGAAGTCGTGACATGCCCCATGGCGGTTATTGACTGTGGGACTGTAATCCCACCGGCTGGCGGCATTACAATTGTGCGTCGTGTATTTGCTATACTGGGTGGAGTACTATTTGAACCTACCACCCATCTACTTAGGGACCTATTCTTCTCAAGCCAGAAAGTTCCGGCACAGTACGCTTACAATCGGCGAGCATTTGGGACCGGCCGCTTATAGACCCGAAGTACGTCGCTCGTGTTTGATTCTTGCAATAGCTTGACATTCTAACTGGTTGCGAATGTGTTCAGCTATCTTGCCTCGGAGAGCGATCGCAACATCCTCCTGAAGTCGATGCGGCTCCTCATCCGCCTTGCGCGGACTGAGCCGCTCTCGTCTTCCCTGATCCTTCGAGACTCGCCGTCGAACAGTGACTTTGACCCATACTGGCCAAGCGATGTCAATCCTGACACGGTAAGCGGTCGTCTCTCAGTCCATCTAATCCAATCCACATGTCGAATGTGTTTCTGCAGGTTTCGGACGAAGACCTTGAGACATGGATGCGCAAGCACGCGCAGACAGCATGGCATCCGGTTAGTTCCACCTCTTCTCTCTGGTTACATTGAGTTTGATACAATCATGCCTCTACTCGTCTAGACTTCAACGGTGAGAATGGGCCCCGTCCCTGGAGAGAGCGCAGTTGACTTGCAGCTGCGTGTCCATGGTGTGAAGGGCTTGCGTGTGGTGGACGCATCTGTCTTTCCTGACCAGGTGTCTGGGCATACGTGTGCTGTGGTTTATGCGTTGGCGGAGCGCGCGGCAGATCTTATCAAAGAGGCCTCCTTGCAGACAACAAACTCGACCTAGAGATTTATAGCAAAATATCGAATTCTAGTAATTATTTGCGCTTTACCTTGTTGCGATCACTCTCCCGTCATATGTCTGAGCGAATTGATAGTTAATATAACTGAGCTCTATGCTTTCATGATCGCCCGAGGGCATCGCACTTGAACGAACATTCATGGAATCATTCAATGAAGACTATTCAATATCCCGGGTATGCTAGAAGTACACGTCAAGTTATACAATATACATGCAGTAAGCACTATGATGCGGTAGTCGCAGAGTATTTACCTCCTGTTGATTGTTTCACGATCTGTGATGACTTCGGTCGAGACTATGACTACCGGCTCGATTGATCTACTGTACATGTGTGTGACATTATTTGACTGCATTATAAGCAGTAGGCTTACATGCAACTTTTCTCTGAGGCACATCACATCAACCATCATAATGCCATGCATGCCATTTTCTTTGTCCACTCAGCATTCAGTGGCTGGACTGTGAAGCTATATCAGGAAAACATACACTTTGCTTTTTTTGTGCTTTTTTGTGCCTTTTTTTTTTGTTAAAAAAGCATAAAAGCACAAAAAGGCACAAAAAAAGCAAAGTGTATGTTTTCCTGATGACTATGTGAAGTATGCCACTACTACCATCAGCTGAGTCAAGATTCATGATGCTGATTGTGGCTAAATGTCAGATTTGAGTTGCTATTATTCAACACAGGATTTAGGAGGGGTTCACTATGCAAATTATTCTGGAGAAATTAGAATAAGAGTGTGTATGTTCTTCACATGGCCATGGTGCATTATTGTGTTAATCAGACATGGTGATCACACACCTGAGGCCACTCTTGATTGAGATGTAGTCCTCAAAACACACTTGCAAGGCATTTAAATCACTCTCACATTTTTCATTCATATGAAACCTACACAGTAGTGATCATACTTATATTTTGTATCATACATGATTTATTGGTGTCTTGAAAGGGAGAGGAGCAGGTATAAGTTCCATAATTGCACTACTGTTGCAATTGCATTAATGGTGCAATGATAGTACTCCACACAGGATACAAGTGTAAGTGAATATAATTCATGATATGTCCATTTTAACCTGTGGGACTTACAGGTCCAAGTTCAAAGTTCAACTTTGCACATTGCATGGTCATTCAGCACCGGTCACAACAACCCCACAGTTCAACACTGCACACTCAGCCATGCCACACCCAGTCATCTCTCACCTCCCTGTCCAGCCATACTCACTGCCGCCGTCATCTTGCTGAAGAGCAAGACAACAGCAGCTTCCTTGCAGCTGCTGCCCTCTTGCGTGGTCGCACGGCCACCTTGTCTTGTCACTCAACGAGACGGTCGCCCTGCACCTATCACACTCTCGCCCCACCATCACGCGAGACGTGAGACGGCCGATCACCCAACCCGATCTTTGAGTCTTTGATGGGCATGAAGCTAAGCTCACCAGCATGAGCGGCAGTTGCGCCACCAATCTTTGGTTGGATTTCATTGAGGTCGACGATATGGATCCCCTGCCAGGACGCTGATAGGGGAGTAAGTGAGCCCCAAGCAAACACATTGCATATGGAAACATCAATGAGTCATCAGTGGTAATTTCAGGAACTTGGAGCTGTCACAGCTCAACCATTTGCGGGACAAGGAGTGTTTGATGGCAAATTCAAATCATACAACATGCTACGACAGATCATAAATAGGATACAAACAAACTACATTCATACTATAACAAATTCAGTTGATACTTGGAAGTATGAGATGTCGCACGTACCTTACTGCTAGCGAAGCTCGTCGCCACTACCATTTTCTATTCTTGTCGCATACCTTCCCTGCTCATAACCGTCCTCAGAGCGTGGACCTTGCTCAGATGTGTTGACGTATGCGGAAATATAGTCGTAGTCATCGTCACTCCCACCACCCTCCTGCGAGACACGGTTACCTACTCCAACAGCAGAAGGAGTGCGGTATCTTCCATCTGGTTCCGCGGGGTCTCCCGTTGGTGACCGGTTCCGTACTGTAAGAGGAGCAGAAGGCATTCGTGGCGTCCCTTGTCCCGGCCTCTGTGCCGGATGCTGTAACTGTGGCAGTGGCCGCTTCTTCACTACCAGCGGACTCGTGTCTGCTGCCACGGGCCCGCCACTACTATTATCCACGGTCGGACTGCTCATACTGCGCAACTGCTGTTGTCTCCTGAACGCAGCCGCGGAAATCTTGCCACCGCTTGTAGGAAACTGGGAGAAAGATGCGCCTGATCCCGTCATGGCAGGCGGGAGACTATACATGGGGGCATTTATCTGCGAGCTGGCTGGAGATATCCCTTCTGGAGGTGTGCGGTATGGGGTACCAGGCGATACTGCAACGGTGGGTGGGGGTTGGGGTGGGGAAGAAGCACGCGCGAGACTACTTCCAGGAAGGATCGGCGATGGAGACGGGTCATCACCAACATATCGAGTCGGACCTACAGAAGGAATAGCAGACGCCTGCCCGCCAGACGAGATACTCGTTGGTGACGCTGCTGACCTATCCCTCGTGCGTATATATTGCGCCTCCACACGCGGACTACCGGGTAGAGACGTCGAGATTTCCATGCTTGGTCGGAGCGAGATAGGCGGCCTAGCGAAAGAGGAGCGGGGTGAGGGTATCGGCGAGGACTCACGGTGCGCAGCAGGTGGGGAAGATGCATTGAACATCAGCACATCAAGTTCACGGGAGACTTCACGAGCCGCGGCAGCATTGAGCGATTGCTCATCCATAGGATCGTCGGAGGCCGCCGGAGGGATAGTCGACTCAACCTCCGCCCTCGGTTCCGGGAGATCGTGTTCAATCGGTGGAGCTGTTGGTAGGAATGCATCAGAAAGAAGCCAGATGAGAACGCCATGGCCTCACCTGAAGTATCTCCACGTTGTACAGTCTTTGGCTCGCTAGTCGCAATCCCTGAAATGTCATGATCTATGCTTGGTATTTCGGCAGTAGGTGTATCTTCATCTGCGCTACGTTTTGTGTCTTGCACGTCCTCAAACATCACTCGTCTGTGCTCGCGGCTATTGCCAGAAGAATCCTCATGACTCCCGCCCGAAGGCGGTTGTTGAGTTCTCGTCCCATTTCCTCCATTTCGAAGAGAGTCAAAGTGCGGCGGGGAAGGCAAAGGCGAGTATACAGGAGGTGGGGGAGAATACGAGTTGTGCTTGAGATTCATGCTGGATTGTTTTAGGCCCGTGCTGGATTTGCTAAGTGAGGCCGACGCAAGCGGCGCCTGAGTCGATGACTGGACCTCGAACTCCTCGCCGAGCGCTTCAGCAATGCTAGATGAAAACGAGTCCGACGGCTGCTCCATATCGAGAGATGGCAGCTCATCTTTCGTCTGAGTGACACTGTGTGCCTTCAAATCCCGCAACCCACTGGCTGCCGCCGCACCGGGAGGCGGCCGCGGG